TTACTCGGTCATTGTGCGTTGTGGTATTAATTAGATATATATCGATCCGAGTAACTTACATAGAATTCAGAGCTGAACTTTTATTTAATCTTCGGGTGTAGGTTGTTTTAGACTTTCTAGAAACATCTATTTTAACATCTGTCTATATTTCACTCCGGCCTTCTTCAGGCTTTGTCGCTATTTCTGAGATGAGGTATTGTAACTATTTTCACTACTTACATTGTTTGGGCTGTTGTCCTCATTTTTCTTTTCATATACTTGACGTTTTGGCTGTTGTTCGCTTCAGCCTTCTTCAGACTTTGTCTATATTTCTGAGATAAGGTATTATAACTATTTACACTATTTACATCTTTTGTGCTGTTGTCCTCATCTTTATTGCCATATTCACATCGTTCCGGCCGTTGTTCACTCCGGCCTTCTTCAGGCTTTGTCTATATTTCTGAGATAAGGTATTTGTTGAAACTTGGATAAGCATGGAATAATAATAATACAACACAAAATGTACGTAAACAAAATGTATTGAAACAAGGAAAAGGTAGACAATATTTACAGTTAGTTTTGGTAAATTCTTGGGAAGACTGTTCCTGTAGAATGGGTTGACTTAATCGCAGTCGGGCAGAGTCTCTAGATTGGATCTCTTCTTACTTCCTCCATCGTCTTCCCGGTACCAACCCATATTTATATGGTCGGTACTCCACTATGTAAATTAGGTGGATCGTACCACAACATTATTATAACTATTTACACTATTTACATCGTTTGGGCTGTTATCCTCATCTTTATTGCCATATTTACAACGTTTTGATCGCTGTACGCTCAGCTGTTTTTCAGGTAATATACGCTGGAATTTTGAACCGAACCCTTTATTTAGTCCAAGTAAGTAGATTCCATGAGTCATGTCTTTTCTGGATATATCAGTTTCAATTAATTCCGTTTAGTATCTCAACTCTCCAATTTTTTGTTCACTTCTGCTGTGGCCAGATACTGAACTCAAAACTATCCCCGTGAACTAGATGAAGTATTCGGTTCGAAATTCCAACGTATATTACCTGAGAAAGCCCGGTGCGTACAACGACCGAAACGTCGGGAATATGCAATAAAGATGACGACAACAGAGCAAACGATGTAAATAGTGTAAATATATCTCATTTAGTTTCCGATGAGTCAAAGTATTCACTTCCAGATTCAGGGATTTAATTCAGGATTCTAGGCAGTGTATACGTGGACTCATTGAAAACAGAGAGAATAACAACTGAGCAGTATTAAAAACGAGAACAAAACGAGATAACCCAAGACATATACCTTTCTGCTTCATTTTAGGAAAAATCTCCAAAACAACTTAAAAAGGTGATATCCAGGTGCATCAGGTTACAAATTGCCAAAAATGTAGGCTAATATGTTTTAAAAAGATCTAAAACTATGAAAAAATGAGATAAAAACACCATGATGGTGTTTTTTTTTAAGCGTAGCTTAGATATGGTCCAAGGCCAAAATTAAGGGTCATCTAATGAGAAACGATCTCACTACTCAGATTTATTGAGGCAAGGTTAACCATTACACCACGTTGAAGTGCCCGACAAAGACACTACGGTGAATTGAGTACTAACTTAAAAATCTCATAATTTGAACGCATCTGAATATAATCTTTTTGTCAATGTTTTTCGCACGAGGCAGGAATGAAAAGACACACACCGTTCAACCATAGGACGTCCCACCTCTCCTTATTTTATTAAAGACTCTAAGAATAATAAAGGCCTAAAATTACATATAAGAACTCATAATATATAGTTTATTATTTTTTTCTTTTACTGAATCCGCATCCGTCTTTCACCATAAGAGAATCCATACATACATACATACACACACACACACACACACATATATATATATATATATATATATGATATGCCTGGTACTTATTGGAAAGCGCTCAATATCGGTGGTAGAGCTAACGTATTTAGTTGGATTGATGTGAGTTTGTGACTCTGGGTTTCACACTATTTGCGATCATTAGGTGAAACCTAGGGTCACAAACTCACATCAGTACAACTAAATATATGTATATAATTATTTATTTAAAACTTATAACATAAATATGTTATAAAATCACTACAAAAATAGCCATTTTGTTTCAACACCTCCAGTGTCTTATCAAGTGATCTGCTCTATTATGTAGTGAGCACTCTTTTAAGAATAGTAATTGTTGGTTATTGGAATTTATTCTGTATACCCCAATCATATACTTGTATATATATATATATATATATATATATATATATATATATATATATATATATATATATATATATAGGCAGTATATCTTCATTCAAATATGTTTCCTTGGATAACATAGACATATTGTGTCTATTTTTATACTGATCCTTACCAGTTATCTAATTAATTTCTTGATGTTTTGACAAAATTCGCCAAGGAAGGTGCCATAGTTTTTGTTAACCCAAGTACTATCTGCACTTGTTTGCAAATATATTTGTGTTCGGTGAATTTAATGCCCATATCACAGGTGGATTAAACATTCTGTCACTGACCTCGCTGGCCTCCAAAACCAGAATTTCTCAATCACTCAATCTCTCGCAAAAGTCGTGGACTTCCCCAACGCATTTTCCCAGAAACCCTGATGGACACGCTTCTCTTTTCCTATCTCTATCCATGAGTAATACTGCATTATGCAGCTCTGCCGTCTTGGTAACTCTGATCATGCCATAGTGTCTGTAAACAAATCTTTCCGCTCCCTTAACAGCCCAGAACCTACTACTAACTGAATAACTTTCTGTTATAAATGAGCGGATTGGTACACATTCCGTAATTTACTTTGTGACGTCACTTAGAATGAAGTTTTTAACCGTCCTGTTCAAAAATGCACGTCAGAGGTCTCTTACTGGGTGAAAGTCTCCATCGATGCTTTCATTCCAGCAAGGAATTCCAACTTAACCCGCATTCATCTCTTTGGTACTCACCTGCATACTTGGCCGCTATAGCCCACAGGAATCCCTTCTTCCGGCAGTACCATAGCGACACGTCTGATTGCAATAGATGTCTACATCTTTGTAACGAGTACTGTTGGCATATCTAGTCTCCCCCTCTCTCTCTCTCTTCATATATATATATATATATATATATATATATATATATAAAACATTAGGCAGCATATGATTTACATACAAAGAATAATCACACATAGAATTAATCAGAAGTATCAATGCGATTATTGACGACATCCATCGTTAGAAAACATAATATATGCATTAAAATCCTGTTCATCCATAGTGCGAGTTTTAATCCTTGAAGAAAAACTTGTTGTCTGTAGTTTTCAGTTTATTTGATGTTAAAATGCTAGTACTTACGGACAGTCTTCCATCCATCATCAGGCATGTGTTTTTTTCCCTATAAAATCAAAAACTTGAGACGATATACCTGTATGTCGACCGAAAGATGTTTTTTGAATATCTGCTATTATTGACGGTTGTAAGGTATCGGAACGTGCAAAGACGCAACGCTAAGTTTTTCGAAATTTTTAAGTGAGAATTTTATTTAAATATTTCTTGTGATGTGTTAAATCCACGTATTCTATTTTTACAAGTGTATTCAGTTTTTATGTCATGAACTAAGTATATAGTTCAATAATATAGTGTAATGTCATAGTAGTAATTTTTTTATAGGAATTTTTTTATGTACTGCGGATCGATAGTTTTTAATAAACATAAAACATTAGGCAGCATATGATTTACATACAAGAATAATCACATAAATTAATCAAGTATCAATGCGATTATTGACGACATCCATCGTTAGAAAACATAATATATGCATTAAAATCCTGTTCATCCATTTTAATGCATATATTATGTTTTCTAACGATGGATGTCGTCAATAATCGCATTGATACTTGATTAATTTATGTGATTATTTTTGTATATATATATATATATATATATATATATATATATATATATATATATATATATATAAAAGAGTAATATTTAAAATAATTTATCTGTGTATAGCATATCATTTATAACAACTATTCTAAAACAATAAAAATATAAAAAAATTAATAAGCGAAAACTTGAAGGAGAAATTTATTTTATCACCTGTAATGATTCTCACAAGGCATACACTGGAGAAACCTCAAGGAATTTAAATAAAAGTTTATATGGACACAAAAGAGATCTTATACAAAACACACTAAATGCATTAGTCGTTCACCGTAATGACTCGGACAATTATTTCGATTTAAAAGGTGCTACTCTAATTAAAGTGAAAGCAATTTACCAGGACAAAAGTGCATAAACGTGCTTTAATCACTAGATTACCCACAGTAAATTTACGTTCAGGTTTTTGCAAAATTTCATAATTTTTGTCAGGTCTACTATTGTAACAATATGGAATATTTAATAACAAAAGTGACAAAAGGATAAACAAAAAGAATATGAAACTAAATAAAATCGACTTGAGAAGATATCCAAAGCATATATACTTAAAAAATTAGATTTAAAATGTTAGTGTTCCCCTCAACGTAGATATCACTTCATTGCGATGACGTGCTAAAGGATGAAACGCCTCATACAGAATGTTTTTCCAACATTGTGAAAGATTTTCCTAATACTTACATATATATATATATAGTGTATTATTTTAATACTTATACTCTGGCGGCATGAAAAACCCGGATAATAAAATAAATTGTAAATAAACCAAACCGATATCAGAGAAGAAAATCAGTAAAAAAAGAAATGACTAAAGATATCAGCCTTGGTCCAATCGAAAATAATCCTTCATCACCGCAATGACCAGTCAAAAGAAAAACACCAACAGAGTAAATTAAGTAAAACACATAAAAGTGCTCAATACAGTAGATAGAGCAAAATCTAAAAAAAAAAAGGTAATAAGCCAGAACCTGACTACCAATGTTTCACATAACAGATCTTCAGGCTACTACTGAAGCCAGGTGAAACCTTGGTAGGTAAGTACTGGTTCACTAGTTTCTTATCTATCTATCTATCTATCTATCTATCTATCTATCTATGCATGGTTTCGACGCTGTCATTGATAAGACACTAGAAATGTTGAAACATAACGGCTATTTTTGTAGTGATTTTATAACATATTTATGTTATAATTTTCGAATAAATTATATATATATATATATATATATATATATATATATCTATGTATGTATGTATATATGTATGTATGTATGTTAAGAATTTGCGTAAATGATCCTGAACGAGATATACATTAAATGACAATTGGAAAAAAACATTCATAAATGTATAATGTTTCGAAAAAATATACGATATTGCATTTCGCTCATTATGTCATTATTTTAAATAAACACACAAATACATAAATACGCAATTCAAAGTGGGCAAAAATACATTATCGGATATATATATATATATATATATATATATATATATATATATATATATATATATATATATATATATAAAAAAAAAAAATAAGCAGATGAATATCAATTAAAACTATGTTTTCGAATAAATAAAGATTTTTTTCCTAGCTAATATTTAACTGTGGAACTTAAAATCTCGCCACATGGCAGCCACGTGACGGTATCCCCTTCCCACCAAGCAAAAAAGCAATATTTACAAAATGCATTTCAGCGTCCGGCAGATGGTCCCAACTTAGCTGGTTGAAGGTCCAAAGACTCGCCATCCAAGGTACATTACACCTGGCTTGAAGGCAGATACTTGCCGATGGGCGGACAGCAGACTGACGGACGTCTTGGACAAAAACGTCTCCTGTTGAGGCCCAGGGGTTCTTTTACTAATAATAAAAGTGTGTATTATTGCTTTGTCGACAAACTCCTGTCGTGTCTTAGTCTTTGTCAAATCTGTACGAAATGAACGTCAGCATTAAAGAAATGGAGTATTCGGGAGACAATGGACAGCGGTGAGACGTTCGATACACAAGAGCAATAAATGTGTGAATTAGAATTAATTGCAAGTGATTTTTTTTAGTAAATGAGAAAAACAAAAAGAAAAAACAAAAAATAATAGAAGGAAAAACCTTAATTAAAAGTTAACCAAAAATAATGCACGACTAAATAATTTTTTGAACTCTTTTTAGAAAGAACCCAGATACACATATTTTATATTTTATACGATAACGATATATATATATATATATATATATATATATATATATATATATATATATATATATATATATATATATATATATATATATATATATATATATATATATATATTGAACAATAAAAAATATTAAAAATTAAAATCTTCAGACACACTGGGTTGTATATTAATATTCTTTCGTTTTTATTATTTCATTTAGATTCCTCGACTAGTTTCGGCAAACATGGCCATCATCAGGAGAAAAAAATTCTGCTTACTGGTAGCAGTGAACTACAGAAATGAATGTCTTGATGGATAAAATGAACTTTAGTTTGTAGTTTTCAGTTGTTTTTATTTTTTAATTTTTTAACATGAATTTTGGTCAGACCTTGTGTTGGTCATATATATATATATATATATATATATATATATATATATATATATATATATATATATATATATATATATATGTGTGTGTGTGTGTGTATGTGTGTGTGTGTGGTTGTGTGTGTGTTTGTGTGTGTGTATAAAACATCTATTTATCTACATTAATGTTTTGATTTAACCAAAAGATTCAAACTTATAATTTTTTCTGTTAAACTCTCGTTACCTCCAAAAAACAGAAATATGAAATACACTTTCCTAAAAATGAAGTTACCTTGTTACATTGGAACACGTAAATACATACTCTGTCTATATTTCTGAGATGAGGTATTATGTACATTATTTACATTATTCGGTCTATTGTCCTCATCTTTGTTGCCATATTTATCACAACATTTCGGCCGTTGTACGCTCCGGCCTTCTTCAGGTGGTTGGAATGTCGAACTGAACCCGTTATTTCCCTCACTGGGGTAGACTGTTCTAGTTCCACATGCCATATTTAATGGATGTCAGTTATCAGTTATCTCCTGTTAATTCCCCTCTGAAGTTAATTCATTTTGATAATTTTTTTTTTACTGTTTTTAATTTAATTTTCATCTACAATTACCGACTTAAAGAATCATGGAAAATTTTACAGAATAAAATGAGCTGTAAAATTAATATAACGCCGAGAAAGCTGTAGTTAGAAAAATAACTGAATAGACAATAGAAATTTATTTTATTTATATAGTTAGAATTTAAGGCTGGCGTTTACAGTTCGGGACATATTTTAGATTTCTGAGTTTGTTTTTAGTTATTAAATTTAGGGTACTTTGTTAGCCTATTTTTCTACGAAAGATTTTCTTGTGGTTAAAGTGATGTAAAAGAGAATTGTCAATAAATTCTTTGCAACATATATTTTGAACAAAATATTGAAATTAATCTATCTATCTATCTATCTATCTATCTATCTATCTATCTATCTATCTATCTATCTATCAGTATGTTCACAGATATCTTAGCCTGTTCATTATCTATCTATCTATCTATCTATCTATCTATCTATCTATCTATCTATCTATCTATCAGTATGTTCACAGATATCTTAGTCTGTTCATTATCTATCTATCTATCTATCTATCTATCTGTATGTTCACAGATGTCTTAGCCAGTTCATTATCTATCTATCTATCTATCTATCTATCTATCTATCTATCAGTATATTCACAGATGTCTTAGCCTGTTCATTATCTATCTATCTATCTATCTATCTATCTATCTATCTATCTATCTATCTATCTATCTATCTATCTATCTATCTATCTCACCGGAAGTGTTTAGTTTTGAGATATGTGTAAAAGATGTAATGTTGAATAATTAACTGATTTGAAATATTCGAGGTACTGTCATCCATTTTCCTTCTTTTGTTTCCGCTGTTTTTATTCTTAGCATTTATTTGTTTGTTTGTTGTAGTTTTCATTCACAATTTATCACTTAAATTCTTTTATATTATTTTTATTATCTTTTTTTTTTTTTTTTTGGAAAGTAATGCATTAACCTTGTACTAAATGGAGGCAACAAGACATTTTATTACACACAAATAATAATGTAAATAATCTATCTATCTATCTATCTATCTATCTATCTATCTATCTATCAGTATGTTCACAGATGTCATAGCCTGTTCATTATCTATCTATCTATCTATCTATCTATCTATCTATCTATCTATCTATCTATCTATCTATCTATCTATCAGTATGTTCACAGATGTCTTAGCCTGTTCATTATCTATCTAACTATCTATCTATCTATCTATCTATATATATATATATATATATATATATATATATATATATATATATATACAGTCTTGTTTTGTAGAGCTTAATATTCGCTTAACTCCCATTTACAATGTAACATCATCAAAACAATTCATTTATAATTTCACATTTTTACAATATAGTCATCTAGTGAATCATGTTAATTTAAGAATTGATGGTTCAAAACCTTTCTGAAGCATTCAATGAGCTGAAACTGTCATGGCTAAGACCTGATAAGAACTTATCAGCAATCATGTTTTGAATACAAAATGAACAATCTGATGTAAAGCTTTATACGCAACAAAATGAATTTAATTTTCAATAACTTAAAATAGAAAAGAAGCTTATTATTAATAATTAATCTATTAATATCTGTTTACTTTTTCTATGTGCTGTGTCCTTCCAGGAAGTGGGCGATCATAGGTCTCCGCTACTTCCTTTTTTGTAACTGTTAGTAAGGTTTGACTTTATGTTATACCCCCTACTCCCAGTTCTGTCATCTATTTACACAAGCTTATTGGGCAGGTTATACGCTATTTTTCTGTCCCTGTTGCCTTTCTGTATGTCGTTTGAGTTTAAATTTCCAAGCCCTCTTTCCTCATTATGTGCCCTCGTAATTTCAACTATCTGATTCTAAGTATAACGGCCATTTTTTGCCTCTATTTTCATTAAAACTTCCTCGTTGCACGCATGTTCAGTCCATGGTATTTTCAGTACCGTTCCGTAGAACCAGCTTTCTGATACCTCAAGTTTATTCTTTATTTCTTTACTAGATTTACTTAGTATTATACTTTACTTTTATCCCTAAACTCACTGTGGATACACTTTATTATTATTATTATTATTATTATTATTATTATTTTTTTCGCACGATAATTCGTTTTCAATCCGAGCCCTTGCATTATGGGTGCTCTATATTAATTAATACATCCCCAGAATAAGACAACTTTGGCAGAATATTTGCAGTGTCAGTCAATTCCTATTTTCTCGGTGTAGCACTTTCGGTGGTATAGACCCCGAAGCTCCAATGATATATGGGACAATAATAGTGGCCTGAAGGTCCCATATTATTATTATTATTGTTATTATTATTATTATTATTATTATTATTATTTCATCTGCTTTCTGTTGTATATACATTTCTTTCTGAGTTCCAACCAGTGACTCAAGGCGAAAAATGATTTCTGGCACTTTCCACTGATCCTTTTGGTAAAAAAAACAAAACCTAAGATCAAACACATTTTATATAGATAAGTTTCAGCTGTACTTGTGAGTACATTCTTTTCTATTTATTTAAGGCATAGGTTATCAGGAATCCCTTCAATAAGTCTATCAGAACCTTTTCCAATCAATCCGAGTCTCCAACTACAACTGGAATTATTGATGTCCTCATGTGCCACATTTTCGAGATTTCCATTTCAAGATCCTTGTATTTTGATAGTTTTTTGAAGATCTTCAAAGATACATTACAATCTGAAGGGACTGCCATTGTCAATAAGAAAGCACATTCTGTTTTTGTGATCTTGGGTATTTTTTTAAGGCATGGGCTACCAGTAATCCCTTCAATGAGTCTATCGGAACCTTTTCCAATCAATCCGAGGGCTCCAACTACAACTGGAATTATTGATGTCCTCATGTGCCACATTTTTGAGATTTCCATTTCGAGATTCTTGTATTTTGATAGTTTTTGAAGATCTTCAAAGATACATTACAATCTGATGGGACTGCCATTGTCAATAAGAAAGCAAATTCGGTTTTTGTGATCTTGGGTATTTTTTAAGGCATGGGCTACCAGTAATCCCTTCAATGAGTCTATCGGAACCTTTTCCAATCAATCTGAGGGCTCCAACTACAACTGGAATTATTGATGTCCTCATGTGTCACATTTTTGAGATTTCCATTTCTGAGATTCTGGTATTTTGATAGTTTTTTGAGATCTTCAAAGATACATTACAATCTGAAGGGACTGCCATTATCAATAAGAAAGCACATTCTGTTTTGTGATCTTGGGTATTTCAGGCATGGGCTACCAGTAATCCCTTCAATGAGTCTATCGGAACCTTTTCCAATCAATCCGAGTGCTCCAACTACAACTGGAATTATTGATGTCCTCATGTGTCACATTTTTGAGATTTCCATTTCGAGATTCTGGTATTTTGATAGTTTTTTGGAGATCTTCAAAGATACATTACAATCTGAAGGGACTGCCATTATCAATAAGAAAGCACATTCTGTTTTTGTGATCTTGGGTATTTCTTTAAGGCATGGGCTACCAGTAATCCCTTCAATGAGTCTATCGGAACCTTTTCCAATCAATCCGAGTGCTCCAACTACAACTGGAATTATTGATGTCCTCATGTGCCACATTTTTGAGATTTCCATTTCGAGATTCTTGTATTTTGATAGTTTTTTGAAGATCTTCAAAGATACATTACAATCTGATGGGACTGCCATTGTCAATAAGAAAGCAAATTCGGTTTTTGTGATCTTGGGTATTTCTTTAAGGCATGGGCTACCAGTAATCCCTTCAATGAGTCTATCGGAACCTTTTTTTCCAATCAATCTGAGGGCTCCAACTACAACTGGAATTATTGATGTCCTCATGTGTCACATTTTTGAGATTTCCATTTCGAGATTCTGGTATTTTGATAGTTTTTTGGAGATCTTCAAAGATACATTACAATCTGAAGGGACTGCCATTATCAATAAGAAAGCACATTCTGTTTTTGTGATCTTGGGTATTTTTTAAGGCATGGGCTACCAGTAATCCCTTCAATGAGTCTATCGGAACCTTTTCCAATCAATCCGAGTGCTCCAACTACAACTGGAATTATTGATGTCCTCATGTGTCACATTTTTTGAGATTTCCATTTCGAGATTCTGGTATTTTGATAGTTTTTTGAGATCTTCAAAGATACATTACAATCTGAAGGGACTGCCATTATCAATAAGAAAGCACATTCTGTTTTGTGATCTTGGGTATTTCTTTAAAGGCATGGGCTACCAGTAATCCCTTCAATGAGTCTATCGGAACCTTTTCCAATCAATCCGAGTGCTCTAACTACAACTGGAATTATTGATGTCCTCATGTGTCACATTTTTGAGATTTCCATTTCGAGATTCTGGTATTTTGATAGTTTTTTGGAGATCTTCAAAGATACATTACAATCTGAAGGGACTGCCATTATCAATAAGAAAGCACATTCTGTTTTTGTGATCTTGGGTATTTCTTTAAGGCATGGGCTACCAGTAATCCCTTCAATGAGTCTATCGGAACCTTTTCCAATCAATCCGAGTGCTCCAACTACAACTGGAATTATTGATGTCCTCATGTGTCACATTTTGAGATTTCCATTTCGAGATTCTGGTATTTTGATAGTTTTTTGAGATCTTCAAAGATACATTACAATCTGAAGGGACTGCCATTATCAATAAGAAAGCACATTCTGTTTTTGTGATCTTGGGTATTTTTTAAGGCATGGGCTACCAGTAATCCCTTCAATGAGTCTATCGGAACCTTTTCCAATCAATCCGAGTGCTCCAACTCCAAATGGAATTATTGATGTCCTCATGTGCCACATTTTTGAGATTTCCATTTCAAGATCCTTGTATTTTGATAGTTTTTAGAAGATCTTCAAAGATACATTACAATCTGAAGGACTGCCATTATCAATAAGAAAGCACATTCTGTTTTGTGATCTTGGGTATTTCTTTTAAGGCATGGGCTACCAGTAATCCCTTCAATGAGTCTATCGGAACCTTTTCCAATCAATCCGAGTGCTCCAACTACAACTGGAATTATTGATGTCCTCATGTGTCACATTTTGAGATTTCCATTTCGAGATTCTGGTATTTTGATAGTTTTTGAGATCTTCAAAGATACATTACAATCTGAAGGGACTGCCATTATCAATAAGAAAGCACATTCTGTTTTTGTGATCTTGGGTATTTCTTTAAGGCATGGGCTACCAGTAATCCCTTCAATGAGTCTATCGGAACCTTTTCCAATCAATCCGAGTGCTCCAACTCCAAATGGAATTATTGATGTCCTCATGTGCCACATTTTGAGATTTCCATTTCAAGATCCTTGTATTTTGATAGTTTTTAGAAGATCTTCAAAGATACATTACAATCTGAAGGGACTGCCATTATCAATAAGAAAGCACATTCTGTTTTTGTGATCTTGGGTATTTCTTTAAGGCATGGGCTACCAGTAATCCCTTCAATGAGTCTATCGGAACCTTTTCCAATCAATCCGAGTGCTCCAACTCCAAATGGAATTATTGATGTCCTCATGTGCCACATTTTTGAGATTTCCATTTCAAGATCCTTGTATTTTGATAGTTTTTAGAAGATCTTCAAAGATACATTACAATCTGAAGGGACTGCCATTATCAATAAGAAAGCACATTCTGTTTTTGTGATCTTGGGTATTTCTTTTAAGGCATGGGCTACCAGTAATCCCTTCAATGAGTCTATCGGAACCTTTTCCAATCAATCCGAGTGCTCCAACTACAACTGGAATTATTGATGTCCCTCATGTGTCACATTTTTGAGATTTCCATTTCGAGATTCTGGTATTTTGATAGTTTTTTGAGATCTTCAAAGATACATTACAATCTGAAGGACTGCCATTATCAATAAGAAAGCACATTCTGTTTTGTGATCTTGGGTATTTCTTTAAGGCATGGGCTACCAGTAATCCCTTCAATGAGTCTATCGGAACCTTTTCCAATCAATCCGAGTGCTCCAACTCCAAATGGAATTATTGATGTCCTCATGTGCCACATTTTTGAGATTTCCATTTCAAGATCCTTGTATTTTGATAGTTTTAGAAGATCTTCAAAGATACATTACAATCTGAAGGGACTGCCATTATCAATAAGAAAGCACATTCTGTTTTGTGATCTTGGGTATTTCTTTAAGGCATGGGCTACCAGTAATCCCTTCAATGAGTCTATCGGAACCTTTTCCAA